TGTCTTGTTTATTAATTGGTCGCACAGTGTATTTTATACACCATCACGTTTTTGGACTTTTTAAGCTTTTCTTTTATTTCAGTTTTATAATTTTTATGATTTTAACCAACTTGTACAATAAGAAAAATTCAACAATTCAAAATTCAAATTCAAAAATACTCTAGGGTTTTATTTAAATTTAGAACATACAACATAAAATAACTTTAAATTCACAAAAATGAGAAACAAAAAACAAAAATTCAATTCTAAAACAATGAGAATAAGACTTTATTCTTGCTCTTCTGTTCTACTTTTACGACAGCTTACGCATTCTTGTGTTTTTACTACGTGTTCTTTACATGCTAGTCTACCACACAAGTCGCATGTGATGGTTGTAACGCGATTTTTCTTACTTTCGCAAAAGACACATTTACCTCGATTTCTTGTAACATTCCTCTCAATGTTCGTTGAAGTTTTTTTATATTTAGAAAGAAAGCCTTTTATATCTATAGGAAGCGTCTCAATGTTTGCTCGAGTTTCCAGATGAGGCTTCATCAAAGACAATGCAACGTTTTTCAGAAAAATACGTCGTGGCTGTTTATTGGAGTCTATGTGAAAGTATTTATAAATTATGTTAGAGTTTATTCCCGCAATATTAATCATTTGGAAAAAAAGAACCAGAGGCCAGCGTCTTGTTCGTTTTTGTACCGAATAATTACCACACATTTCGTCAACGGTGTCAATTCCGCCTTTAGTAGAATTGTAAAACAAAACGATATCAGGCTTATTTGAAGATCTGTCGACAATATCGTCGGCGTGCATAGTCGAGAGTAGTATCACAGCTTTATTTTTTTTTTGGCAATAGGATACTAGCGTCATATCCTTCCGAAACGCAAATATTGAAGATGGAATTGGTCGTGATTTATTAGGTAATAGTTCGGCAGGTATCTCTTTTTTATTTTTTCTCAATGTGCCAACTAATGTGGTTTTTTTGTTTAGTAAATCCTCTGCAAGTGGGTAACTCGTGTACCAATTGTCAGTCGTCAAGTTTCTATTTTTTCCAACGTAGTCGTTTGTCAACCTACTGACAACTGCTTGTGGAGAATTTTCACAGACATAAGGTCCGTCTGGCTGCTTGCCACAGTAAAGCTCTAAATTAGACAAGTAAAATGTTTTGGAATCGCATAAAGCAAAAATTTTTAGTCCATACTTTGCCGGCTTGTTTGGCATATACTGAATAAAACTGCATCTTCCTCGGAAAGGAATCAGCATCTCGTCAATTGTCATAAACTCTCCAACGCAATAAGAGCCCTTGCAGTTTGCAACAAATGCATCAAATATATGTCGTATTGCTGCCATTTTGTCGGTTATGCGTCTGTTTTCTCTAGTGCCCACATCGTCAAATCGGACTACAGAAAGAAGAAACAAGAAACGGTTTGCGCTCATACAAGCTCGAAATATTTCTATTCCCGTTCCGTCGGCGCTAAACAATTCGTGAAAATTGGTATGACCTTGTTTTTTTACACCGGAGAGAATCAGCAGTCCCAAGAATGCCAAAAATTCTTCCTTATTTGTCTCACGTGCATCTCTCTCTCGCGCATAATTTTCCTGTTTTCTTCTGATAAAAATATTTGTACATCTTACAATCTCTTCAACCATCGCAGCATTTATAAATTTCTCAAAAGCAGATATTTCGTTTGATATCTCACTTTTTGGGACGAGGGGATGACAACGTTCTTTACAAATGTTTTTTGCAGGTGTCTTTGACTTTTTCTTCAGAGGCAATTTGCTCCATTCCAAGTTATGCTTTGTTTTGTAAACTGGACCATCGCCATCGTTTGCATTTTGAAGAGCTGTTGTTGCCGTAACTGAATAATCTGAATGTTCATCTTCATTTACCAAATTATCGACATTGTTATCGCCACTAGCCTCTTGTTCTGAATTGCTTTCATGTTCACTAAGTTCGAATTGTTCTTCGGAATCTGCTGAATCGTCTCCACCCACTATTTGTTCTTCAGATAGATCTTCATCATGAAAAGCAGCTAATTCTTCATCAGTCAAACAATTGGGATTCCTCACTTGGATTGGAAACCTGTTTTCAAGTGAAAAAATATTTTTGTAATCAGTTTTTGATCAAATTTTATTCGATGTATGTTTTATACTTTACACAATTAATACTTACATATTAAGTCGCACGGTGTAATTTGTACACAGGACAAAATCAAACTAATTTAATTAGCAATAACACACTGTACGGTCGCTGTTCTTAACCTCAAATGCTTATAAGAAAGATAAATGAGGAATACCTAGAAGCGCTTGCGCATTGAAATAGTTTTTAGCAAATGGCCGACAAAAACGTCAACTGCGTGTATTTTATACACGCATGCGAGTAATTAAGGGTTAATGTATACATCGGATTTATCAACAGCATTGCCAGTTTTTTCATGAGAAACAAGTCGTTTTCTTTTTCTCTCTTCTTTTTGTTCTTTACCTCGTATTTTCTTTTCTTGAATTTCTTTTTCGAAAAGTTGCCGGCCTTTTCTTTAGGGCCTAACAGGCCCATCATTGATTTGAAATATGTTTATTTTTGTTCCTTCTTGTTTGGGGAATAATACACATTTTGAATTTCCTCTGATTGATCTACTGAATGATCATTTTGTGAGCTGTTATTATTAATTATTTCAGTTAAGTCTTCTACCACATCATTTTCAGTAATTCGGAGCTCATCTACTTTACAGTTTATATCTACATATTTCCAGTGATTCATTTAAATTATTTGTTTTTGATTCTGACAGAGTCCTGGATGTTGTGATGTATCGTTAATACTCACTGGAACCAAAGATTTAGTCGACATTTTTGCAGGTCATCAGCAAAACAATGAGCATATGCTGCTTCAGTGTTATAATTTTTTTCATCATTATTGTCTGCTACCTTTTCATTATTATTATTATAAATTGAAAGATCTCGTACATTATTCGACAAAAACTATAAATTTTATAGAGATAAAGAAGATTTTCATCTTCTGATTTGTTTTTAACATTTCGAATTTCATCAATTTTATTTGGACCTATTATTTCACAAAATGCATCATATGACAACTTTGTGCTACATGTAATGCTAGATTGTTGATTTTCTTTTTGTCCAGTGTTTTTTCCAAAACATTTGGAATAATCTATTGCCTCTTTGTTCCAGAGGAAAATTCTGCATGCCTGAAATCAATTAGTAATGTTTTGAGGCTTTGTGTCCTCTACAATGGTGTCTAATGTGGGAGCGAGGTTCTCTTTGATAATTGTTTCAATAATTCTTCCAACCACTTTTAAAAGTGCCTTTACACTGCATGATTTGTCATATGACTTTTGCTAATACAAATCGTATGATAAGTTGTATGATTTCAAGGAATCATACCATTTGCAGATTTTGAGTTTAGACTGCTATGCTTTCTCATATGATTTTTTCGTTCGACTTGAAGCGTGGTGGGGTGAGAGCAAAGTGTCACTGTCAAACGACTCTAACCTAACCTAACATTTGGGGGAAGCGAAACACGTTTGCTTGACTTTGGATATTTTTTGTATTAGCCTCACATTAAATTTAAGAATTGTGTGTAGTAGTGAAAATTTTATACAATGAATAGTGAACAAGTGGCAAAATATCAAAGTGGTTTACTGTGCTTGATTGTGGGGTTATTAAAAAGAAAGCAATCGAGACGTAATAAAGTTAAACGAACTTTATGGAGTAGGAAATGGCTTCTGAGAAGAGACGAAGGCCGTGGACTTGGGTGTATGGTACTTAAAGAATTAAAATATGAAGATCCCGTTAGTTTTAAAAATTTTACAAGAATGAGCATCGTTACATTTGAAAAATTGTTGACCAAAATTGAACCCCATATTTCTAGACATGACACAATGTTACGTGAAAGTATTAGTGCCAGAGTCCGGTAAGGAACTATAGTAAATCAATGAGTAGGTGATTATGTCATAATATATTACTATTTACAGGCTTCTATTGACTTTAAGATTTCTTGCGACTGGGGAAAGGTACATAAATCTGCACTATAGTTTTAGAATATCTGTACCAAGCATCTCTCTTATTATACCAGAAACGGTGGCAGCTGTTTATAAGGTCTTAAAAGATGAATATCTTGTGGTAAGTCAACAGTCTTTTAAAAATAAAATCTTCATAAGTAAAACCATTTTTAGACTTTCCGAATTGTTTGGGAGCTTTAGGTTTTGTGCTAAATTAACATAATGCAAGACTTCCTATAATCATATCTTGTTTATTTTAGATGGAAAACATATAGCTTTCCGGGCAACAAAAAAAGATGGCTCTTTTTACTACAACTATAAAGGGTTTCATTCGATTGTTCTAATGGCACTGGTAGATGCTCAGTATAATTTTACTTATGTTGATGTCGGATGTAATGGAAGAGTTAGTGATGGCGGTGTATTTTCTAATAGTACATTGTATACAGCAATTGAACAAAATGCTTTAAATTTCCCTAATGATGAAAAACTTCCTCAGAGTAACGTGGAAGTCCCATACGTAATTGTAACTGATGAAGCTTTCAGACTAACCAAACGAATGATGAAGCCTTGGGGTCAACGTTCGTCAATTTCAGAAAAGATCTTCAATTATCGCCTTAGTCGTGCACGGCGAGTTGTTGAAAATGCGTTTGGAATTGTAGCTAACAGATTTCAAATTTTACAAAGGGATATTAACTTATCAGTTGATAAAGTTCAGGATATTACTTTGACCTGTTGCGTTCTGCATAACTACATTAAAAAAAACGACGGAAAAAGTTATCTTCAAGGTATAGATCACGAAAATACTGAATCTGTTAATATAACAAATGGTAGTTGGAGAGAAGAAGTTTTCTCAACAAGTTTACAAGCATGTACGGTTAATCAATCTCCATATGATGCAATGAAAATCAGGTCAATTTTCACCAAATATTTTAATAAAGAAGGATTTGTGCCGTGGCAATGGGCATTTATCTCGATGCCAATCTTTTTACGTTGAATAAACTATTTTTTAAAATGGTATAAAATATTATTTATTTCGTGCTTAGCTTCGTTCTGCAACTCTTCGTCGTCAATTCCCTGCAGGTCTTTGCTTACAAACCGACCGAATTCGCAAACTTCATCAATTTTCGGCTTCGGTCGGTTTATTTCTTCAAGCACCTTCAAGGTTTTTTTCATTATGACGTCATCTTCCGCTGAAGTTTTTCTTTTTTTTTTGCTCTTTGTACCGGCTTTGGTGACAATACTTGTAGTGAAGTGTTTAATCCAGAGGACATTGAGGAGGACAATACGTCGTTCGACCCACTCTCCTGGATATCCTCTAGATCTGTAACCTGATCGTTGTCTATTTCCTCCAACATAAAGTTGGGTTGGCTTTGATTTTCATTGTCATGCTAAAATTTAGCATAAAACACTGCACTATACACGTTGTTACACCACTTACCAATATATCAATACTACTTTTACCCTTCCTTAGGCTTAATGAATTGCTCTAGGAACTGCAATTTCTCAAACCACCATACTGTCGGTTCATAAATTTCATCCGCACCCATTCCAGAATGAGTACTTGCTCTAATTTTATTTAATTCGTGATTGTATTGAGATCTCAGATTTGTGATTTTTTTTTTCGCTTCTTCGACAGTTACTTTCAACCCTTCATTTTCTTTCTTTAAAGTCTCAACAATTTTATTACAGTAGCGTCCGGTTATAATGAACTCAAAAAATGTAACAAAACTAGTTCATTATATCCGAAGTTCACTATTAACGGAAAAATAAAAACTGCGTTTGTTTAAATTCAATTTACTTCAATTCTACGTTGGGAACAATTCAAAAAATATTTCTTGGTTTATAAACTAAAAATAAAAAAAAACATAGCTATTTATGTAATTACATATAACAAGACGTCACATAAACACAAGTCTACTTGACAAAATCAGTTATTTTTGTCTGTACATATCTATTAGAAAAGTGAATGTCACTAATATAGCGTTCGAGGTTGCAAAAGCTGTTCCATATAGGCTCCGGAACAGTGCGCGATTCTAAAAAGTTGCGAGTCTCTGCCATTTTTTGCGCCATTTCATTAAGAGAAGGAACATAAACATCAACATCTTCATCAGACTCATTTTCCTCACCCTCGGCCTCGTCACTTGTTGCCATGACTGATGTCACTGATTCTATAATCTGCTCGTCAGTTAGTCTTTCTGTTACCGTTATGTCGTTATCAATTTCCACATATTCTTCAAAATTAAATTCCCCGATTTTCTCTTGCACTGCAATTTCAATTGCATTATCCACATCTGTGAAAATAAGTCCAGGATCATCTTCATGTTTTTTTAACCATTCTGTTAGGGGAAGCTCATCGTCTGCATCAAATTCAGCACTTTTTTCAGAAAATCCTCCATGCTTGAAACAGTTTGCTATTGTATCTTTGCTAACCTTTTGCCAAGCCATGTGAATAAAATTTACAGCATCTAAAATGCTAACTGAAAATGTTTTTCCGTTGTCCATAGCCTCTATCATCTGCGCGAGTAAAATTTTCCTATAATGGCTCTTTAATGAATGAATTACACCTTGATCCATCGGTTGTAATTTTGAACTCGTATTCGGTGGCATAAAAACTAATTTAATTTGGTTTAGTTTAATCTCAGGGTGAGCTGTACAGTTATCAACTAAAAGTACAATTTTCCTATTTTTTTGTTTTAATTGTTCATCCCATTCAAGCAGTTCATTTGTGAAAATTTCAGAGGTCATCCACGCGTTACGGTTTGATTTGTATTTTACGGGCAATTGTTTATTTTTGAAACATCTAGGATTGGCAGATTTGCCTATAACCAACAATTTCCTTTTTTCTGTTCCAGACATATTGGCAGCTACTAAAACTGTAATCCTCAATTTAGATAACTTTCCTCCAGCACAACTTTCTCCCACAAATTTTAAAGTCTTATCAGGAGTCATTTGATAAAAGAGCCCTGTCTCATCAGCGTTAAAAATGTCTTCACTGTCATAGTTTTTCCGAATATGAGGCCAAACATTAGTTAACCAGTCATTAACAACATTCAAATCTACTGCTGCAGACTCACCCACAATTTTTCCTGTTCGGATATTATGTCTTCTTTTAAAACGTTCAATCCAACTTTTAGAACACTTGAAGTCTTTGTTTTCGATTTTACTACCCATTTCATTAGCTTTTTCTTGTAGAATAATACCACTTACAGGAACGTTTTCTTGTCTTTTTTGTGTAAACCACTTAAGAAGCCCTTGATCCATTTCATGGTGCTTTGATTTTCTCATTTTTTTACACGTAGAATTTCCCTGACCATACGCTGATAAAATGGCTTCTCTTTGCTTCCATATCATAGAAACAGTGGATTTTATCAAGTTCATTTCCTGGCTAACATCGCGTTGTTTAACACCACTTTGTATTTTTTGTATAATATCATACTTGTCCTTTAAGGTTAGAGCTTTACGTTTTTGTTTTTCCATTTCGAACAATGTTATTACACAAGTAAGTACTTATGTAGCGCTACTTCGACACAGTGACCAAGAATCGACTGGCACAGAAAGCAAGTTGGTGGGGAAATGCGTAGCGCGTAAATCAGGGAATCCCCGAAAAGTTCATTATAAACGGAAAACTGCACTTTATTTTGAATAATATTTAGTTCATTTTATCCGAAAGTTCATTACAAGCGGATTCAGTGGTTCATTATAACCGAAAAAAAATACATTAGATATATGGAAAAAATTTCGTTACTTGAAATACAGTACACTATAGCCGGAAGTTCATTACAAGCGGGTTCATTATAACCGGACAATACTGTATATGCTTCTGCCCGTGCATGTTTATTTTTGTAAAATTGATGTTTGACGTCATACAGGCACGGATATTTTTCAAATTGTTTTATAAATTTTTCCATAGTACTTTTCGTCCATTCAAACTAATCAAAACAATGAACACAATTTAATCATCGTCAATAGCTATTATTTTAAATAATATACTTACTTTTTCCATATTTATTTAAAAATATTGTAAAAACAGAAAACAACTAAACCAAGCAACACACCAACAAGCACCAAGCACGAAGATCTCGAGTAAAATAAACAGTTTCACGGGCTAGGATCAGAGGCTCGGTCGATCTATAATAACCTCACTTTCAACTGCCAATTTATTTTAATTTCTTGAAAAAAGCGCGAAATTTAAAATTATCGTACGAGAACTCTCTTCAAACTAGACCCCGTCCTATTCTGGAAATCTGCAATGATTTGCTTATGACCGCTCATATGATTTGTGTTATGGGTCAAGTAATATGAGAAATCATACAGTGTAAACATGAAAAAAGCTGCACTAGGAGAAGTCATATGACAAATCATGCAGTGTAAAGGCACTTTAAGGGCCGAAATGCAGACACATCTGCTGGTTGTAAAATAAGTGTGGCGTTGGGGTAAAGCGGAAATTGTATTCAAAAGCGTGCATAAGCAACTCATTTGGTACGTCAAATGAGTTTTGTGACCATCCAGAAACCGTAAAATTGAGAAGGTCACGTTTGTTTTAATTAAGAATGCATAAGTCCAACAAAAGATAAATGCAAATGACTCCAATTATGAGTATTGCTGCTGTTAATCTCCAGTAAAAATAGTCGCTACCCTTGTACCTTTCCAGGGCCGTATTTGTTCTCTAGTAAATGGATTCCTAATGCTTAATTGATTGCGGTCTGAAGTACTAATTACTCCTCATAAAATAATTGACGGCGTTTGCATTTATCTTTTGATGGATTTTATAAGATATTTGAAACATATTCGAAAAATAATTCTGCTTTCATCCAGCCATTGTCAGATAATCCTATGCCATATTCATTCGGTCCAGTTTTCTGAATTTTAGAGCTCATCCCCTTTAAAGGATATATGATCATAGGAGGAGTAGAGACACTGGAGACAGAAAAGGTGAACATGACAGTCACACCTGATTTTGCTTGACCGTCATCTATTTGATATACATTTTTGCAGGCTTTTGAGTATCAGTACAGTTCTCTGATTTGGACATAACTGAAATCATATTTCATCTCTGTTCAAAATGCGGGTTGGATCTCTTGGAATAAAACGCTTCTGGCACAACAACAACTTAATTTTTATGATTCACACACATGGCTATATGGCTACATCGCTATCGGCATCATGTTCAAGTAACGGTTAATTTAATTTTTAAAGGTGGCGCTGCACATGCAACTACTAAAACAACAAAATCCCTAAACTTAGAATAAAAAGGATTTTGTCAATCTATGCAACAGCCGCACTTGACAAAATGCTTATTATACCTAGTTCACTTAAAAATTTATAGTGTTTGACTGGGACTAATTCCTTCGTTAACAAGTTAACAAGCAGGCATTATCATTGGTTTGTAAATATTCGGTCCTTACTAACTTCTAGCTTCTCTTATGAAATTGTACTTTATATCTATGTGTTTAGAACGTTTATACAAACCTTCATTTAATGATAATTTTTGTGCGCTTTGACTAGCATTAAACAGGGTCACACAAACTGGTTCATTTCCAGTTATTTTAGCGAGCACGTTCCTTAAAATATATGGCCTCCTTAGCAGCTCGATAAAGCAACAGTCGCCTGTGTTTTACTTTCCCAGGAAATTGCAGAATTACCTATTCTAAAACAATATCCAGTATAGAACTTTCTGTCCCAGCAATTTCCTGCTCAATTGGCATCTACAAAACCATGTAATTCTGCATTTCCCTTTACAAACTTTAAGCCATAGTTTCTGGTCTTTTGTAAATATCGCACAAGTCGTTTTACATATTTCCAATGAGGTTCAGTGTAACAGTGGGCTAAGAAAACTTACAACATAAGCGCATAAGCGATATCAGGTCTTGTCAAAATTGCTAAATTCATCAAACTAACCACGAGTCTTTGATAAGGTAATTCAGTATTACAAACCCCATCTGTTCTACCTAAACTTAATTTACTTTCAGTTGGAATATTTACAGGTTTACAATTCGACATATTAAATTTTCTTAATAATTGATCTGTATAACGCTCCTGATCTAAAGTTGCAATTCCTTTGTTTCTATTTACTCTCATACCAAGACAAGTTTTGACTTGACCTAAATCCTTCATTTCAAACTGACGCCAGCTTTTATAAAATCTAACTCATGTACATCATTTAATAACAGGAAGATGATTTTCCTTTCTTTTTATGAATAAACAAGTTTCCCATTCCCATTTTTTGTACCCTAAAATAGTTAAACAACTTGATCAACTTTTTTATACCATGCTATGAATGATCACTTCAATCCACATGTAGCTTTCCTAAGCTCAAGTATTTGATATGAATTTTTTAAACCTAAGGGTTGTTTCATTTATACTGTCTGTTCTAAGTTACCATTCAATTTCAATAATAATATAATCGTTATCGACCTCGTTAAGCCGGAAACGGTGATTCTGCCCCAGGTCGCGTAGACCTTGAACACTTCCAAGTGTATACGACTTTGCCGTACCCGCTTCGTCCGCCAGGGAGAATTTAAATCCCGCAAATTTGGAATCAACCCAAATTTCCTGCAGAACTCCCTACCTATCACCAGCTTGTACCGCATGACTGGGACTACCAAAACATCTATTACGCGGTACTCGTTCTTAAATTTAACGGGCGTCGTGATCGTTCATATACAATCGATCCGTGTATCATCTGCCAGGCTGCAACATACCATTTCCCCCTTTATTTAACCCTTTCAGTCATGCATTTTTATTAGTTGATATAAATTTTTTTTTTTGCACAGACGATGTATTATTTTTTTAAAGATTTTTCATGTAAATATCAAGTGACTTTTTGTCATACTTTTTGAAAAAAATCATGTCCACTGTAGTGGACATTGTGACTCAATTGTAGTAACACATCAGTCAAACATTGGTGTTTTATTTAAACTCAAACATTACTTTTCATGATACAATTTAAAACAATTCTGATTTTTTTGTATACGTAAATGTACCGTACATTTAACACAAAATACATACGTTTTCCGTTTGCAATTAGGATATTTACACCGAGAAGCAAAACTCTTTTGATCCATATCTGGCAAATGGCCAACATTATCCTGGCGTACTTCAATCACGGGTACGTGTTCTTTTTTTACAATTTTTTTTGGAGGTAACGTATGTTGAAGTGAATCTCTTGAAGATAGACTTGACGAAGGTCTTGGTGACGATGTCGGAGACATGCTTTGAGATAAAGAGGGTCTTCCTCGTTTTTTTGGCGTTTTGTTTGCATATATCAAACTTTCAGCGACATATGCTCTAAAATGGATTAGATCTAAAATTTCTTTTTTTGGTAAGGTCTTAGAAGCTACTTCTTTGTACTCTAGCCAAGCATTACAGCAACATATGTCTATCGCATGTGTAAACATTCTAAGTGTCCATTTTTTGGATCTGATAAAAGTTCGATAAAGTGTAATAAGGTAGTCTAGTTTATCTACTCCACCCATGTTCTTATTGTAGCATTTAATTACTTCTGGTCGAGAAACGTCCTTGTACTCTTTAGCAATTTTGTCCCACCTTTGGCATTGATCCTTTTCGCCAATAGACATGCAGTTCGATGCCATTATTACTGGTTTATTATCAAACCATTTTGTCATTACAACTTGTCCATCTTGACTAATGATTTCTTCAGAACTTCCTCTTCCTTCCCGTTTCATGTCCTTGTATGACGAAAAAGGCGGTTTATTGAATCGATCGATTCTAGCTGTACCTGAAGTATAAATATTTCTATTTTGCAACCACTGCAACAAATTGTAATTTGAAAAATAGTTGTCATAATACAATTGCACATTAGGGATTGTTATCCTTTGGCATAATTTTATAACAACTGAAGCAGCTAAACCAAACACGTCCAAAAATTGTTCCTCTAATTCCGTTGTAGATCCTTGATATAACAAAAAATCGTATAAAACGCCTGTGCGTCCACAAAGTGCAAATAATTTTATTCCCCAAGGGCACGGTTTCCCTTTTACATACTGCTTCACGTTTAACTTGCCTTTGAAAGGTATCATTTGCTCATCGATACAAAGTTCGGTTTCTAATGGCAATTCTTGACAACGTTTTCTTATTTGATTATATAGTGGTCTAACTTTCCAAAATCTATCGTTGTTGTCAGCGGATTTTTCTGCAGTATTTACAAAGTGTAGGTTTGTACGAAGTTTTGAAAATCTATTGAATGCCATGTTCTCAGAAATTATGGGAATGTGCAAACTACGATCCCAGTAAAATCTTGTCCTGGGGTAGTGCAAATTTCCCATTACAATATGAATTCCAACGAATGTTTTTAATTCTTCAACATTGGTCGGTACAAATTTTACATTATGTTGCACGGCGTACAAATTAGTCATTTCAACCATATTCGTAAAAAGTTCTTCAGTAAAGTATTTGGCGAAATAAAATGTAGGACTTTTGCATTCTGAATGAGTATCGTCTTTTACATGCCAATTTAT